AACCAGTGATTAAGCTAGTCAAAATAGTTCATTAAACAACATGAACATATGGGGAATTATTAATTGGAGGAAATAGTAAAACAAACATCTCTCACCATCATTCCCCGAATGCTGTTTTTGGGTAGTGATAATGGTTTGATCCTAAGGGATGTTAATTTGAGGAGAGAACACTTGATCCCTGAATCTAAAACGCCCCCTTTCTTCCACCAAGGTATTTTACATAAGCAAATGCTAGAATTGTTTAAATCCTGTCCTCTTTGCTCCAACAACTCCCCAAACAACAAATTAGGGGAGGAGCTCCTGAAGGGTTTGAACTGGGATAGAGTAATTTAGAACCATCTATCCTGCCTCAGGTGAGTAAAAATATGTTCTGCTGCATTGATCCACTTCACCTCAGGTTTGAATGTCACCTCAAATTGGAATATGATTCAACTTAGTCTCAGGATACAGAATGAAGCAATAAACAATTTTAAACCTTAAAAGCCATCTCTATTCAAACCTGTTCCATAAGCAAAAAATCTAGGATAGGTGGAAACAGAAGCAGACAGCTAGACAAAACTGGATATCATTTTAAATGGTGGATTAAGATAAAGGAAAAGAAAAATAAGGCCTATCAAAGCTAAACTAAGCTGTTATATCTACTGCAGCTTTCTTATGGTGGCTGGGAATTTGGGGAGTTTATGTCCAATACATATGGAGGACCCCAGGTTGACAAAATCTGACATTTACAAAAGTAAGCATAAAGATTCCATCACGTTGAACTCAACTCTTGGTAAATGCATTTGTGCAGTTTTTTGGTCAGTCTTATTGAAGTAGTTTGATATTGTTTTCTTCTTTAAGTTTCTTGACTTTCTAGTCTAGCTAACAGCCTTTGATGAAAATATTTTACTTGTAATATAGAATTCTTCTGCTGAATAATTAAGTTTGGTGTTGCCCAAATCACAGGAGAAGCAAAACAAAACAAAACAATAAGAACATAAGAAGTGCCCAGCTGGATCAGACCCTGGCCATCTAGTCCAGCAGTCTCTTCTCATAGTGGCCAACAACTGCACAAGGAAGTCCACTAGTCTCCCAGCAGAAGGCCTTCAGAGGCAGTCACACTGCTATCAAAGATAATAGCCATGGATTCCCATGACTTCCATGCATTGGTCCAGCACTTTTTTTGAAGCCAGCCAAACAAGGTCGCCAGCACCACTTCCCATAGTAGTGAATTCCAAAGTTGAATTACACATTGTGTAAAAAAAAAGAAATATTTTGTCTATCCTGATTCTTCCAAGATTCAATTTCATTGGGTGAACTCTGGTTCTAGTATTTTGGGAAGAGGATAATAGTTTCTCTCTGTCCACTTTATTCGCACCATGTATAATTCTGAACACCTTAATCATGTCCCCTCTCATTGGCCACCTTTCTAAACTAGAAAGTTCCAAATGTCACAACCTTTCCTCATGGGGAAGCTACTCCAGCCAGTTGATCATCTTAGTTGTCCTCCTCTGAACATTTTCTAGCTCCATTATATCCTTTTTGAGGCGCAGACACCAGAACTGCAGACAATATTCAGAGGTGGTCACACCATTTATATAAGGGCATTATGATATTGGCATCTCTATTTTCAATACTGTTTATTATCCCTAATGTGCTGTTGGCCTTTTTTACAGTGGATGCACACTGCATCAACACCTTCATTGAACTGTTTAGCATTATTCCAAGATCTCTTTCCTCATCACTCACTGCTAGCTCAGATCCCATCCAAATGATGCTGGCCATTAGAAAAATTCTAAAAATTCCTAGACCAGCTCAAAATTATTTTATTTATTTTGTTTAAATCACAGATACTGCTAATTTAATAAACATATTGCTCCACATTCTTTATTGCTATTTTCAAAGACAGATGGAGACAGGATACTCAAAGTAATTGAGAGAAGCATTTATTGCGTAGTGGATAGGTTTCAAGGTCTTCTGAAAACTTCTCCAACAGCAAATAAAGGCTTGGGATAGGACCAAATGCACTGACCTCCCTTATAAATTCTTCTCAGGCATGTTAAAGATAACTTCTGACTCCAACTCTCTCACACTAGATGATTGTTCTTCTCAGCAGATTCTGAGACACCAGGTGGCAGCAGAGGAACAGGACTGACTCTGAACCTCTGGACTGGCTCAAGATCAGGTTGTGATAGAGGTTAACTGAAGCCCCAAAAGAGTTAGCTTCCAAGGAATGTTTACAGGATCCCAGAAGCATTGATGGAGTTGCTTAATTCTATGCAAGTAATATATACAATTTCTAGTGATTTTATAGGAACTGAAAATTTTATTTATTCATTTTTTTATACTGCATATATACTACTAGAGCAAATTTGGTATCACCGATGAAGTCCTAAAATTAATGATGAGTATCTTTATATTGAGCCAATTTGATATAGTGGTTAAAGCATCAGGCTAGAAACTCAGAGACTGTGAGTTCTAGTCCTGCCTGGGCACAAAGCCAGCTGGGTGACCTAGGGCCAGTCACTCTCTCTTAGCCTCAGGAAGGAGGCAATGGCAAACCACTTCTGAAAAATCTTGCCAAGAAAACTTCAGGGACTTGTCCAGTCAGTCTCCGAGAATCGGACACGATTGAACGGATTAAAAAAAAAATCTTTAAATTACAAGTTAGAGCCATAATTTTGTATTCAAATGGTTTTTTTAAAATTAACCGTACTTTTTAATTGAAATAACAGTGGACAAACTGCAATTTAAAGTATGGACAATATCATTATATTCTTCTGTGCTTTATTCATAATGCACACGTACTTTTTCAAATAATTTGGGGAATTTTTTTCTCTAATTGTATAACATAGTCTTTTTTTTTTTTTTTTGATGGAGGACATTCTCTGCCTTTGATTCCCATGCTAGATGGCCCTATACCGCAACAGCAGGAAAGTTTTTTCTACTTGGGCTTACCAGAAAGAGACCTGAAAAATCTAGTCCAGCTGCAGGATCTTAAATAGGTTTAACATTCCATTTTGCCTTACCTATGGCTGAAATTAAAGTATAACTTGTTTTCTCTCCTCTTCATATGTTCAGTAATAATGCTGTAAAAAAAAAATCCACCATAATCCTGGAAAAAGATACGGTCTCCTTCAAGTCATGCTTCACTCTTGGTGCTTTTATTTATTTCTGGGACTTTTTAATGATTATTAGAGAAATCCTAGTAAGGAAATCCTGTGAATACATACATAGATTTTTCATAGTTTGCCATGAGTTAACATGACAGAACATTATCATAAGTATAGTAAAGATACTGACATTTATGGAAGTTCTCAAGAATAATTGAAGACACACAAGCTTGGTGTTCAAACTCATATTTTTAAACAAAATTTTATTTGTTCTTGCGTAGTTTTGCAGAGTTTTGGGTATAGCATGCTTGTGAATGTTGCTGTGGTGTGATTAAAGCCAATTCATTTACATTTTGGATCTTTAATACTGTTGCATGTTTGTAATAAATAAATCATACTTCATACCTTTTTAGATGATACTTCCAATGTATATTTACTTGGGAAGATATATGGGTCCAACTAACTACTAAATGAGAAAGGGCATTGTTTTTTCTCTCTGAAGCAGGTATTTAGAACTACGTAACAAGTGCTTAAAAAAGAAATAAGTGACAAAAATACAAAGAAAAACATATATAAAGTATAATATGTCATTTACATATATATGTATGGTACATATATAGGTACAATTCTATATATAATTTTCTAATACAAATTTTATGCAAGTGCATATATAACTATCAAGCTTTATACAACTATCAACCTTTTTTTTTAACCTACTGTATTTTATATAAATGAATCCCATATTTCATTATACTTGTCCGTACAATCTATAGACAAGCCACTCATAGGTGGCAATTGTAATCAGGTCTTTGATCCACTGAGTGAATGGGGCCATACATTTATCTTTCCAATGCTGCAATATCAGTCTTTTGGCCATAGTAAGGGCACGGAGAATCCATTTACGTTGTCCAGCCGTCAAATTCCAGGTACTAGGTATGTAATTCAAAAGAATATTATCCTCTGAGAATTTTAGTTTTTGTCGCACAGTCACATTTATATAGTCCACTACTTTCTCCCAAAGCTTAGTAAATATAGGACACTGTAAAAAACATATGTTTTAAAGAAGCATTGTCCTTATTACATATCCAACAAGATGCTGTCTTAGACAATCCTTTTCTATACAAACGTAACAGAGTCCAATAAATTCTAAATATTATTTTTTGTTGTATAAGTCGTAGTTTAAGGTCCATTAACACTCTTACTATAGAAGTTAAGACATTCTCCCATTGTCTAGGCAATATGGGAACCTCTTATTCTTTATTCCACTCATTTCTTAACATCTGGATATCAAATTGATTTATAGATAGCAAATATCTATAAAAATTAATAATAGGTTTTTAGTTTTAAAAGATTTAACAGTTGTTCTAGTATCTCAGGTGTCTCAGAAGCTGAAAATGCTGCTGGTCCAAACAGTGTTGTTAAT